TGCTGTCACTATGCTTTGAAACTCCCAATCTAATTTTAGTTTCTCCGAAACATTCAGATTTTAGTTTTTTTTTAATTTTATTAAATTGTTTTTGCATATTGGTTTCATTTATATAGTGTTAGGTTTAAATAAATATTTGTAATAAATTATCCGTTGTGAATAGGTTCTTGCAGTTGGCCATAACGAAACATAAAGAAACGATGGTAAATCCTCGGAATGAGACCAAAAACCTCACAAAAATTGGGGACAGCATTGCACATCCTGCAATATGGTAAAGTCGTTTAATATCTGTGGTATCGGAGCAAACTCCTCCGTACTCACCTTTTGAAGTCCCTTCAGGACTGGGTATTGTGAAGTATACTCGCCCCGAGTGCTCCACCCAGGAATCCTTATCATAATAATCCTCCTCTGAATGCACTTGATGCGCTATGCCACCTGCAAAAATAAACAAGATTTGGTAGACTTATGTTTTAAATATAAATATAAACAGAGCTAAGAAAAGTCAAGAAAACTGGGCTCTATCTCTGCTACCAAGCGAAAATATTTATATTTCTTCTTCAAATTAAATGTAACACTAATTAAATTAAAATTGTAGGGTGTAGTAGGGGCATCGTTTTCTGAGCTTTGTGCAGTTTGAATTATGCGTGCCAAAGGGTTTTCCAGTTAGGCAGTTTAACAGTTTTATCGGCCATAGCCGAAGAGTCTGCTGTGAGGCCATTAAGCGCAAATTATATTGGCCGAAAAACTGCTGTAAATTGCCAGACAAATGACTCGCCAAGGTGTTAATATTGATCACGATTTGGAGTTGGGTTATGATATTGAAAGCGAAACGGCGTGGTTAACACTTTAAAGACACGTTAACCCACGAATTCTCTAGACTTAGGTCAGAAGCTTAAAAAGTTAGTATACAGAACAAAAATAAATAATGGTCTGAAAATTAGAAATCACTTGATAAAGGGTTTAAAAAATGTATTTAATAAAAACATAAAATTTTAAAATTTCCATCTCTCTTTACTTCTATGTAATTCATAGTTGGTTGCAAACATGACTGTACTGAGAATAGCGATGACAGAAGCTAAAAAAAAAAAAGGAAACACCCACCTCGATCCAGAGGATGGAACCCAGAACTTGCGGTCACTGATTCATGTGATCCCCATCCCGAACTGGGACTCCAAAAACAAAACAAAATGCTGGCTAAACGTATTATGTCCGAGGATGGGGACTTAAGCAGCTGCTGCCACTGGAACCTTCTTACGAATGTAATTTTTATTTACACAATTTTAAGCTAATATTACGTTCAAGCCACGCCCCAGAATATCCGAGCCGGAATACAAGAAAAAACAGAAGCTGAACCCTGAAAAAGAACCAAGAGAAGAACAAGAGGGCAACAAACAGGACGCGAGCCCAACTGAAAAAAAGAACAAAAAAACGACAATCTGTCCCAAAAAAGGATTAATGAAATAAAATTATCTCTTTTTCGGCGTAACGTGAGCTACTGGCAAAGAGCGGGTGGGGGAATTGAAGGGCTTGTATTGCGCCACCCCTTTTCCATCACCACTCGCGGTTCCATGTTCTCCATTTCCCTTTTAAAGCCTATTTTTGCACAGGAAAAATCAAATCCTAATTAACACTATTTATCTTATCTATATATGTTAATACAAAATGCTGAGAAAATTATATTACATTATGAAATAAAATGATAATCTTTCTTTAAATAAAAAGGCGTATTATTTTTTTTTATCACAAAACTAATTAGAGACTAATTATTAAGATATTTTCCTAGTGTACTTGTATATCCCCTCCATTTTCTTAACTGTAGCCCTCATCCTTGTCTAACTCTTTCTCTTTCGGTATGTGTGTGTGGTGTTTTTTTTTCTTTCGAAGGAATTTTTTCGCGTAGTATTTGTCATGGATGTGGGGTTGATAAAGATAGGTTTGTTGGGGTGTTGGCCTCATCAAGTGGGAGCACGTACAAATCTTTTGTGTACCGAGGCCTGCCCGAACTATATGGACATCTCCCTCGCTTAGGTTAACGTTCAAAGTGCGTGTCTCTCTGTAGATAATTTCAGCCTCCTTATTTTTATTTCCTTGGCAATTCCCATATTTTAACATTTTTAAATGCATTTAATTAAGTAGAAAGAGGCTGGCTGTTGGCCCTTGAAAGGGTTGTGCAAACAAATCCAAAAGAATTTAGCTAAATTGCATATAAATAACAGGGCGGGAGAAATTATGAACACAGCTGCTTCTTTTTAAGGTCACATACTTTTTTAATTGGTTGGGTGTTGGCGTTCAATAAATCGTGAAAGGATTCTTATTTTTCTTTTTAGATTTTAAGAAATTTATATCAATGCTACGTTGTCTTCTAAAATTCATTATATTCGATGATTTGTTTCTCTTATTCTTCTGCTTCAAGGTTTTATAATTAATAATCTTTATGTTTATCCAAAATCCTTTCAAAGTACTCCTTCCAACGATTCCATTTCCAAGCGACGCCAACGAAAATGTCTGAATTCCATTTTGGAATTAATTTAATTATGCACAAATGCCAAGATGAAATTGTGGTTGGATTGAAATTTTCGCTGACACATAATGGGTTAATGGCACGGCGAATTCACCTGACCTCATCCTTCGTACGCTTCCCTCCACCAATCCGCTCATTTGTCCAAAAAATTTGAAGGAGCTCTGGCAAAAGTTGATCAAACAAAGGACATAAAGATTTGAAAAACTCGCTCATCATTTCAGGCAACCAAATGGCCTCCAACCCCTTATTAACAGCTTACTTCCTTCTTTTCAGGACCTTGCCACCTTCCTAGTCATCAGTGATACCAATTTGGAGTATTCATAGATATGTTTTAGGTACTCTAATGCAGCTCTTCATGCAGCTACATGCATATATTATATTTCGAAATCAAAAGTGATTTCAGTTTTCTTTTGCTTAAAAGCCAACTGTAGTTACTTATTTAATATATTTAAATTCAAGGATCTTTTGGCATCTCTGACACTTTGCACCTCTCTTCCCATTACGTCTCTCTCGTCTATTCTTGGTAGCCCACCATTCAGTCCCTTAATCCGAGTTCTTGGCTCTGGCTAAATGAAATACATAAATGTCATTCATTCATTTATGCAAAACTTGTAATAATGACAATCGTCTTAGCCAACGAGACGTTGAGATCTCCCAGTTAAATAAGTGAAGACTTCGCTTTACAAAACCTCTCCATAACCACACCCTTTCGCTGACAAGGACCAAAAATGCACGCAAAATAAAATAGCGCAAAAAAAGACAATAAAAAAAATACAAAACCAATGAAAATAAACCAAAATGAAAATTTCTGTTGACACCGAAAGATTTTCATGGCAAATGCCTGTCAAAAATTTTGTGTGTACGCTTGCGAAAAATTTTTCTACCAAAGGTACGTCTTAACCCCTTCCACAGCATCTCTTCATAGCCCCTTTCCTCAGCACCTTTACCACGTTGTTGTTGGGCGGTAATAAAATTCTTAATGTGCCATTAAATCCTTCCACTGCCAACGTCATCAGCGCGTCATGACTTTTGTCGTCGCCAAAAAACCAAAGAAGGTACAAGTCTGAGGAAAGCCCGATGGATGGGGCGCCCTGAAAATGTGGGAAAGGGGCCAAAGGTGGACCTCCTGACTGAAGTTGTTTTGAAATTCCGCCAGGCGAATGGAGAAAATCTAACGAAAATGTTCGCTACGAAATGGCACGTAAATAAATTGCAAAGATTTGTCGTTCTTTCTTCTTTTTGGTAAGAAAAGAAGGGAAAATTGCAAAGAGAAAATTCTCAACTCGATTTTCACCTGCCCTTTTCTGTGTGGTTTCCTTCGCTGTCAGCGAGCCAACGGGAAAAAAGGACAACAAATGAGTTAACATTTTTGGTGGATAACAATTTTCATCACCCCCCATCCACTGTCATTATGATTATTGTCATTTGGTTGAGGTGATTCAATGCATTTAGATTGCATAATTAAGTTATATCCACCAAGAAAATGTTTCATTTGCAAATGGTGTCTGGTCTTAGATCAATGAAAGGTACCAGAAAGGGTTTGTCTATGATGTTCGTAACTTTAAAGTGGCCTTTAGAGTAGAAGAATTTAATCTGTTTCTGTTCTAGACTTTACTTTATATTTTTTAAAGAATTAATAGCCTAAGAAAACTTTTTATTTTTAAGTGATTTAAGTCACTTTTTGGTTTGCATTTAACTGCATTTTTCACATTTACCATAAGCAAGGCCCTCAACCTCTTTTTTTGAAAATTTTCCCATTTTTAATTTTAATTTTCCAGCGAGTATTTCGATTGTTGGTGGCCGCTCACGAGTGTTTAATATTTCACAACAACAAAAGGCAGGCAGGTTGGATGGCCACTTGTCGATATTTAACATAATTGTGCCATTGTTCAGGGACCACGCACATACTCGTATGCGAAATCAAAAAGAGTTCAAGTGTCAACGTTTAAGTCGAAGAAGGGTGGCTCGAAAGTACCAACTCAGGCAGTTAATAGTCGCCAGTAGTGGCCGGGATTCAGTTCAAATTTGTTTGTAAGCGAATGTGCTGCCACAAAATTGTAATTGCTTCTAGAGCCCCGTCTCTATAATTATACTCACATACATGCGAAAAATGTATATGAACAATCATTGCTTTGTTGTTAATATAAAAAGGAATGTATGAATAAGTTGGTTTATAACACCAACACGTCTTAAAGAGCTTGAATGGATTTACATTGAATTTTTGATATCTTAACTTACCACGTTTGTTGTTTAACTTTTATATATTCATGTGTAATATTTCGCCTTCTTTCAATTCAATTTCAGTTCTTATCTGAAAATATTAAGTAAATATTAAGTAAATATTAATAAAATATTGATTTATAAAATGAAAAACTTAGTAATATTTGTGAATGTTTATTTTGTGGCATCAGGTAGCCTTGATTTTAGTGTTGCCTAAAATTTAAAGTTGTTCGAGACAGGTTCTGGGTTTTTGTCATTCAACTTTAGAAATTCGAACCGTCAAGATCAGAGCCTAAATCTTACAGTAAAATCCTTTGCTTAAATTCTAAATTTAACCAGTCATATGGTGACATTATCTTTTGTAAGGGAAATCAATAGTTTTTTGTTAATAGGTAAGTTTTCTATTTAGACGTTTTAGAAGTGTTAATGCCAAATTATCTCTCGATTTTATAGAAAAGTAAATTTACAACTTGTTATAGAATTATGCAGCGTTCATCATTTTCCTGGATAAGTAGCCATATTGTGCGTCCTCGTTTTTGTGGATTGATTGGCGGCAGTTGGCGGGATTTTACAAGGAACAATTCCTCGGATAGTTGGGATCAGGATGATAGTGGTAGCAGTGGCTTTAAGACACCTAGGGTGACGACACCGCGTGCAAGTGCCACATCGACGGTATTGAACGATGCGGGTTCCTATTCGCGTGGCACAAATACCGGTGCACTTGAACGCCGTATCAATCGCGAGGATAATATGTGGCGTGATCGCAGTTATATGGATACGAAATGGTTAAATCCACGTGATCCTTCCGCTTATCGACCAAATTTTCGTCCAACTGAACCAACGTCGCTGCGAAAACAATTTATGCGCAGTCCAGATGAGATATCCCGTGAGGTCATGGGTCGCGATTGGGAGGAAACAGTTAAGACCTACAAGCGAAGTATCACTACCATGGGCGGTGATCAAAAGTTGGCGCCTCGCAGTGAGGCGTGGCCAGTCTCTGATACCTTACGGAATCGCCATAAACATTTGCAAAGGATTCAAATGCAACAGCAACATGAACGTCAGCAGAAGCAGGCACAGCAGCAAGAGCAACGTCAGCAAAGGCAATCACAAAGGAGAGGTCAGCAAAACTATTGGGGCAGGAATGTGACACCACCCAAGGACCAATAATCTCAGCCCATAGTCAATCAAGGCAGTGATCCCTCGAAAAATACCAACTACTTATGATTTATCCCAGTCGACCAGAGTCAAACTTAATTGAATGATCTCAGTATTTCCGATTCCGTCTTAATTTACATTTGTTGAATTCGTTCAGATGTGGATACCAATAATATCCATGTGACTTGAAAGCACTATAAGGTAAATCGAATGAAATGGTTTTCGGAAAAATTTCGGGATGTAACGCATAATAAAGAACATGCAAAAATATTTAGGAAAGGTATTACTAGCAGTGTTTCATTTAAATTGTATTTTTATATTTACATATAAAGTGACTTTATAACCGGGATAATCCGTTACTTGCTGAGTAAACCAATCATCCCAGTAATGTCCCTGAAACTCTATCCTGTTTCACCTTCATCCTCTGCCAGGTGGATTACCTACAAAACATCATCGTCGTCATCATCATCATTATCATCATCATCGTCGTCGTCAACAGGCACGTCCGCTTTGGTACGCCCATTCGGTTATATTAAAACCATTTTTCGCTTATTACCAAAAAATTTAAATATTTTGAAAATAATAAACTGCGGGTGAGTTACTAAGTGGCAGCAGGAGCGACGCCCACAAAAAGCAAACAACGTCCCATTCCCAAGAAAGGAAATGGTATTTGGTTTGGGTTGAGGTGGTTGGTGGGTTGTTGGGTTGGTCGCATCGTCATCAGCATTTGGTATCATCACAATGTCTCCTCCTCTGCCCACCTTTAGCCCACACCAGGACTGGCCATTACTAATCCTCCAGCCCAACGGAACCGAACCCAAAATCTCCCCCTCCCACCAACCAAAAACCCACTGTGCGATATCAGCGCGCCTCGTGTTGATTGTCGCGCATTGCCATCAATGAGAAAATCCAACTCCCGCCCATTCTTTCAGACTCCACCACTGGATTTCCCTCAACCTCTGAGTCCTTGGCCCCTTTTGAAGAACCCCCCCATCACCCGTTTTAATGAGCATCATGCGTTCATCATCATCATGACGATAATGGCCAGTGGCTCGCCAAGAAAAAAAAGGGTTTTAGAAATTATGAAAATTATAAAATCTGAAATCATAGCTGTTTTTCAGTTTCAAGCAAGAATCTTTGCAAATTAAAGTCAAGCAATATTTTCTAATCTTTTATGTGATCAACAATCCACTAAGTGGAAACAATTTGTTCAGAACATATTTTTGTTATAATTCAGAATTTTAATAACTATTACTCCTTTGCATTTGCAAATGTTTATCTCTTTACGTTTTAATTATATTCACATTTTTTAAATTTCATTAAATTTCCAAAACATAACTTATTTTTAAGAAACCCTTTTCCCACCGCCTCTGTAAAAAGTGATAATGCTGATGGTGGCAATGGTTGTTGGTGTTGCTTTCTCATAGTGTCATATTTTTATGATTTTTATGTTAATTCATAACCAGCGACGACGTCGCGGTTGCCAGTTCTCAAATATATACAAGCGCCCGCCCATCTCTATCCTTTCAGCCAGACTCCTTCTTTTTGCCAAATGCTTTTTAATCCTTTTAATGAAAATTAGTTCCTCTCAATAACATTTAATATATTTTCCTTTGCTTTCGGCGACTCCTTGTTTCTATCTCTGCGTTGCCCGTTGTTTTCACAGGCATTATCATAATTTCTGTTTGCAACCCTAAATCAACACTGCTGGTGCTGCTTTGGACCCCAACCCTTTCATCCTTTCTTCCTTTCCCGAATCCAGCTCGATGAAGGGTTACTGGTTCCTGTCCATTTTCGGTGGTTCACTGCGGTGTTCCACTGGATTTTCAGGGCGAATGGCTATGGCACAAGATGATGCTGCAGACATCGTGCTCACGCAGGGAGATTCTCCATTTTTGGCATATATCACAAGGTGATAACCTAAAAAACACCCAACCCAACCGAACCATCAACCCATAACCCCATAACCAACACCCCACGCCTTTTTGTCTTTGGCCTTTCGCGTTTGATTTCCTATGCAGCGTTAAATGGCATTCTGGTCCACGTGTTTTTTCCATGAGCTCGGGAAAATTGAAAACCCAAAAACAGTAAAAATTAATGGGCGTAGCGAAGGCGCTTGCCATCTAATAGTAGCGATTTAGTGTTCAGTATCATTCCGTTATCGATAATGTCTATATAGTTCGGTTAATGTTGCGAAGAGATAGTTGTTTTTGTAGGTAAATTAAATTTCATTTTATATTAAATAACAAAGTTTTAAGAAAAAAGTATAAAGTATAAAGTATTTTTTTCGATGTTTCTTAGATTTTTACGCCTTTTTTACATTTTATAAATTCTAGTATTGAATTTTGTTCATTTTTTCTGGCATTTTCAAAACGAGTTCGTTAAATTTCTCTAGGATTCGAGAGGGAAACGGGCAAAACTGGGCGCCATAGACACTCCGCATTAGCTATGCGAATGATGCAGCCATAAAGAAGTTCATTAGATGCCAAAACAGCGGGGAAGTGGAGCTCCATGGAGTCCATGGTTCGATAGACAAAGGACGGCATCTCCGGGAATATTTTGTTCATGCATTATAATCATTATCATTATTAGCATTATTGTCAGGCAGGACGGACGGAGGAGACTCTACGGACTCCAAGCTGAATTATGCAATGCAGTCCGCGGGGAAATGGGGGGGCGTTTCGGGCGGACTCATTTTCATTTTTGCACGATGGAATGGTGTGAGAAAAACCCCAACTCGTTCATTTCGGTTTCGTTGTCAAATGCAAAAATCGCGAGCCGAAAGGCAGCGCTTCCTTTTCCTTTTTCCTCTTTTACTCTATCTCTATCTCTTTCTGTGTTGAAAATTTTCCAAAAATTCTATTATTATTAATAGAGGCGATAAAGAGAGAGAAAGAGAGAGAGATAGAGAGATAGAAAAGTCGAGTAAGGCGACCATGACGACTGGCTTGGCTTTTTGGATATTTGGTGGTCCTTGTATTTGGCTCCTTGTTCCATGTTACTTTCTGCCGCCGGTATGCGTTTGTCTTTTCGTCCAAAAAGCCGACTACAACAATAACCCCGAAAAATGCACACAGTTTGCATTATAATGCGAAATTTTCGATTGCTCATTTGTGGCATTTACTTTTTACTATAAAAGTTTTATAGCCCAGTCAGTAGAGGCAGTCGCGAATAATGCACATTAAAAAATAATGTCAATTTAATTAGGTTAATATAAAAGTTGATTGTTGAATAAACAGAATGAGACAAAAACATGTATTAATATCAAAGTATTGACGCTATCTTAAACACATCATAGGTTAAAGTACATCTTTCTAAATACTTTTGTTTTTTTCAAGTGCAGCAGCAGCGGCAACATCAACGACAACGGCAACACAAAGCGACGACAGCAGCAACAAAATTTTACACAATGTCATCAACGGCGGCTGACAATGTTGGTCGTGGGCTGAGTTGGAGGAAGTGAGGTTATTTTTGGGGGATGTGGCTGGAAAACGAAGGAAGGACACTGAGACACTGACAATTGTGTGCAATTTTTGGGTACTAAACTTAAAGGATTACTTTTGGCTAATTTCGCACTGCTTTTTGCCAATGCCTGAGGGCCGGTGTGGACAGCCTCGAGAACTAAAGGTTCTCTTGTTTTGGCCGCTCAACAGATTCTTTGATGTTGCCTCCAACAACTCTGTCTTAAAATCAGCGATTTTACGTATGTCTGTAACAAAAATTTAGGATTTGAGATTCCTAACCCTAGACTATATATTCATCGAGCAGGGAAATCATTTTGAATCCCAGATAATAATATTGTCTATAATACTTTAAAAAAAATATTTTATATTAAAATTTATGTTTTTCAAATACTGTTATTTGTAAGCCTAATGGAACGGGAGCCTTTGGATATGGAAATCGCTCTGTCTGGGAAACTTTTCGCCAACTTGAGGAGAATTTTTCCTTCCAACAGCTGTGGGACACCACCTGACCCCATTCCCCAGCCACTTTTCGCCACTTTGGTGTCTGTTCATAAGCCATAAAAATGCCAAAAACTCATTGACTTATGAGGCATTAGCTGGGCCGTTGTACCCCCCAAATAAATTGGCAGAGTTAGGCTAAAATTCAAATTGGATTCCTCGTAATATATATACATATATATATTACTTATTACTATATATATATGTATATAAGAAGAGAGTAAATCTATGTATATATAAATTAGCATTTTTGGACGACCGACGGTCGCCATGGAATGGTTTATTAATGGCAAATTAAAAGCAATAAAAAACAGATGTGCTTAACGTGGCACATTCCAGAGTATGAAAATAAAAGAATAAGGGTATGGGGTTGGGTTTATATCTATATAGTATATATATTTCTGGACTGGGTTGCAGCTCATCAGGAGATTTTGCTGTGCGCACCTTTTGCCAAGTTCGGCGACTTTGTTGTTGTTGTCGTTATGAAAATTACTTTGCTCTTTGCTGCCGCTGCGGCATTTATGGAAAAGAGGCAGCTGAGGAAAACTGGGTGGCAGGGCAGGTTAAACCCCCACTCTGCCCCCCTTCCCTTCACCCATACACACGGTCGAAAAAAGAAAGTTTTGCATTTGAAATTCTGGTTCGGTCGTGTCTGTTGTTGCGCTGCCGTTTTTGCCTTATGCAGTTTATCATTTTTGCAACGCGTCCCCCATTATCCCCACCCACTCTATCCATTCAGGTGGGTAATTTTAATTTTAAGCTTGAGTAATGACAATATTTACTTCCACTTCACCGTTATAGTCAAGCGGTACACGCTTTAATGGCATTTTGATTTGAGATTTTCCACTTTGGCCCCAGCACTTTCTTGACTTTTCGTCCTTTTCTCTTTTTCCATAGTTGGCTCCAGCTGTTGTCCTGCCTGCTGCCTGCTGCCATTCCCCCATCTCCTTCGTCCTGTCGATTATTCCATGTGGTAAACACTCAGAATTTAGCGAACTTGCAAAAATAAATTGTGTTGGCGGTAGTTTGAATTTTTAAAGTCATTTGCCATTTAAATTTCATTTTTTTCTTTTGGGTAATCTATACATTTTACTATACTATTTATGGGAAATACCTCCTTCGTTCAAGTTCTAGAGAACCTTGATGGCTTAACAAATATACTCAAAATATTAAAACACAAAAATCCCAAAAAATTAAAAGACAAAGAAGAAAAGTATTATGACACTCTTATAGCCAATCTAACATTCGCGATTGCAGTTAAACACACAATAAAGGGATACTTTTTATGACCTAGCATAAGATGTATATATTTCCCCATTCT